CATAAGGTTGTGAGGATTGAATGAGTGAATATATGTAAAGTGTTTTGAACTGGAAGTATTATGTAAGGGTTAGCTGGTATTATTTTTCTTACTACTATTCTTAGCACTAGACTGTGGGTGTGGGGAGGGTATTTCTGCTGCTAAGCACTCCTCCAGCCCTGCAGGCTCTGCCCTCTCACTGCCTGTCCTTGTAAGTGCTGGCTTCTAAGCCTTAGCCTAAGGTGAGCAGGGAGACCCCCATACCCCCATACCCCACTTGGCTGTGTCCAAAGGGCCAGCTCCCCAGTTACAGCAATGGAGACCTGGAAACAATCCAAGCCAAAGGAATGGACAGCATCCAGCTTGGAACCTCCTAGAAGCCAAGAGCCCTCAGGGGCCAGCTAGTGCAAGACCCCCGCTCATCTCCCAGAGAGAGACAGACATTTACGTGAGGCTCTCTTACTACCTGAGTCACAGCAGTTTCTTCTCTTATAGCCCAGCCTGTCCCTTTGCTCACCATCCTCTGCAGGGCCTTTTTCTGGCTTCTGTGGCTATAGCAGCAGGCTCAGGGAGAACCACTGGGGACGGGACTAGCTCTGGGGTCAGTGCATGAGCTGCCTGTGTGGGCATGAGCTCTCTGGCCATGGTGGAACCCAAATCAAGGCTAGTAAGAGCCTGCCACGGATGCTGCAAAGAGGATGGGGAAGACGGAGGACTTAGAGGGAACTTTACAGGTCCAGGAGTTCATCTCCAGTACTTGTGGACATGTGGTGAGCGAATGGTTAGGTGTAGGCTGGGCAGTGCAAGGCCCTAATTCTCACCCTCACATCCACTCTAGGAAGCTTACTTCAAGAAGCACAAGTTCAACACGGTTCCAGGTGTCCAGCTTAGGAATGTGGACAGGTGGGGTCTGGGGACAGGGTAAGGGGGAAGAGATCTACAAGCCCTAATGAATCAGTCACTGACAGTCCCTTCCAGCCCTGGGGCCCACCCCAATTCCCATTTGGTCCTTTGCCCTGCCCACTACTGCCCATGGGATTGTCCTGAGGGGCTGCCCCCTCCCCTGACTCACTTCTTTCCCTTCAGTCTGAAAAAAGAAGCTTATGAAGCAGAAATTCACAGGCTGCTCAGGTATGGCCTAGGGCAATTGGGGAATGGGGAAGAGATATTGGGGGTTTTGGCCCCATAATTTTTAGAGCCCAGTACAAAATGAAAATGCAGGCTCTCTTGAATTTCAAGATGGCAATAGCCAAGCATTAAACCAAGCACAGGGCCCTTCTAAGCATGGAGTCCTGTAGGGCATGCCCACAAAGCGGGCCTTGTCTTGACCTAACTCCCTTGTCACCCCCCCAACCCCACAGTGGGGCCGAGATCCTGGACCACAGCAAGAACCCTTGTGAAGACACTTTCCTGCCAGACACGGAGGGCCACACCTATGTGGCCTTTATCCAAATGGAGAAAGATGATGACTTCACCACCTGGACCCAGCTTGCCAAGGTGCCCCAACACAGCCCACCCAAGAGCACCCCTCTTCCCCTACACATACTGCCCCAAGATACAGAGAGCCTTTGTTCTGGAATTTTCTACCTCAGACCTGTTCACACCCCCAGAACCCCCCCTCCAACTCCCTCGTACAAATCCCTATTCTAGAAGATGCTATCTCTTATAAATTGAGGAGGCTGCTGAGGAGGGGTAGGGGCTGGGCCAAAGGGTCCTCAGTGCCCCCTCCCCACAGCTCTCTGACCTATACCTCCTCTTACCCCAGTGCCTCCATATCTGGGACCTGGATGTGCGTGGCAACCACCGGGGCCTATGGAGGTTGTTTCGGAAGAAGAACCACTTCCTGGTGGTGGGAGTCCCAGCCTCCCCCTACTCGTGAGTGACTTCCCTACCCTGTGGAATGGAGACTTAATGCGGACGTAGCTAATGGCCTCTTCCCTAATACATTCTCATCTTCCCAGGGTGAAGAAGCCACCATCAGTCACCCCGATTTTCCTGGAGCCACCCCCAAAGGAGGAGGGGGCCCCAGGAGCTGCAGAGTAGACATGAAACCTCCTCCAAGACCCTGCAGGGCTGGGTACTGTGTACCCCCAGGCAGGCTAGCCCTTCACCCCATCCTGTAAGATTTTGTAGGTGCTGGCAGGGGCTGGGGCTGGTTTGTTTTTAACATGTGACTTAATTACTAACTCCAAGGGGAGGGTTTCCCTGCTCCAACGTCCCTGTTCCTGAGTTGAAGGTCTATTTATTTACTTCTTTTTTGGGGAAGGGCAGGATGGTACCTGGGAATCATTGGGATCCCTGGGCAGCTGATCCTGCTCTTTGTACACCCCCTCCGCCTAGGCCTGGCTCAGAATTTAACCTATTTATTGACTGCCCCAGAGACTGAGGGCCTTGAAAACAGGCCAAAGCCTGGGGGCCTTGATTTCTTCCTGGGCTGACGTGCTGCCCTGAGGGCGGGGCTGGCTCTTACTCAGGAAACTGCTGTGCCCACCCCATGGACAAGCCCACCTGGGCCCACATCTGACGAAGACTCACTTGGAGACCCTCAGACACTGGACCAGGCCTCTTCTCAGCCTCCTCTTTGTCCAGGTTTCCAAAGCTGAATAATGTGATCATTGATTAAAAAAGGAGAAAACCTCTAGGGATGTGTTGTGTGTGTGTCTTGTGTGTGTGGTGTGTTGTGTGTATGTGTGTGTGTGTGTAAGGGAGAGAAAGAAAATAGCCATGATAGATGGGATAGATGGTGAGTTTTCCATACTGTCTTCCACAGGGTTTGTCTTCCATTTGAGACCACCAGGGGATGCCCAAGCTCCACCCTAGGACAGCCTGGACCTAGCCCTGCCCTACTTGGGGCTGAGCTTGGAGCAGCCATCCCACACAGCTTCCCCAGTGTTTAATTTCCAGGCTGGCTTCTGCCTAACTTGTCTTGGCCAGGCACTTGCCCCCAGGATGGAGGAGGAGAGAGCAAAAAGGGATACTGGGTCAAGGGAGAGGATGGGAGAGCAGGTGAGCATATTGGGGGTGAGAAGGAAGTAGGTGAGACAAGGGCTGGGCTGTTGGTGGGGACATGGGAGCAAAGAAAGATGTCTGTGGCCCTTCAAAACCAGTTGCTGTCAAGTCGATTCTGACTCATAGCAACCCTGTAGGACAGATGTAATCTTTATGGAAGCAGACTGTTACATATTTCTCCCACGGAGTGGCTGGTGAGTTCAAACCACTGACCTTTAAGTTAGCAGCCTAGAGCTTTAACAACTGTGCCACCAAAGCCCCTTCTGTGGCCCTTAGGGCACTTTAAATGCAGAATTCCATATCTGGGTATTTTTCTGGAGATAAGGGTGATGGTTTTCATCAGATTCTCACCCAGCCAGTGACCCAAAGAAGTTAGGAAGATCTGAGTTAGTAATAAAAGCATCAGAAAATGGATGAGATTGTCCACAGGGAGTGGGTGAGCTAGCCTAAGGCAAGGGGGAGGGGGGGAAAATGACACTTAAAGACCTGTGAAGGACTTAGGATGGGGAGGGAGAGTATAGACCACCTCTTGAGAAGTGGGTCTGCTGAGCCCTGGTCGGGTGGACCTGCTGAGCTGCTTATACAGAGCCATGACTAAGGAATCAGGAATGATTGGAACCGCTCTTTTGCCTGCTCTCTATCTCCACCAGTGCCTGGAGCCCAACTCGGCGATGGCATGGGTGGTGTATGGCCTGGGCATTTCTCGCCACCCTGACGCCTTCAGTGTTTCCTGGAGCTAGAGAGAGTGCTTGAGGTGGCACAACAGCCAGGTGGAGTTAGCCGGTAGTGACGTGGAGGCCCGCCCTGGATAAACAAATCCCCTGCAGCCTCCACACAGGCACCTAGGGGAGGGGCAGTGTGGTGGTGAGGGTGAGGTGGGCTGATTCCTCTTCCTGCCCGGTCCCCCAGCAGGCTCCTGGTCTGGACCTCCCAGACTGACTCTCAGGTACTGTGTGGCTCTGGCCAGGTCTCTGTTCTTTTTGGGCTCCACAACAGAGGGATAGTTCTGGGCTGCACTTGGAAAGTCTGGGAAGAGGGTTCGAGGGGAAGACTGGCTGGTAGCAAACAACCTGTCCTCCAGCCATAGCTTCCTTCCTTAGCACTGTCACTCCTTCAACAGCTATCAGGTCCATATTAGGGATATTCAGCCCAGGTGCCCCTTCAGGTGGAACTGTTACCATGTGAGCCAGAACCACACCAGACTTTCAGTCAAACAGCCTGAGCCTCCAGGCTCAGCTCTTAAGGTTGTGCGACTGGGACAACTCATTTGGCCTCAGTGTCATCTGGAGCATGGGGGTGGTGAATATTAAATAAAAAATCAGGTCTGTAAAGCAGCAGGCAGGCCAAGACCAAGAATAAGTGAAGTTCTTTCTGAGATTCCCAAAGGTTTGGAAATTTGCTTGAGTGGGGCAGGCTAACTGGACCTTCTGATGGGGGCTCTGGAAGGGTTTCCCAGAGCCTAAGGAGTGACCTTTTTCATTGCCCTGGTGATAATTCTGGTCTCTCCTTCCCTGCTTGGGACCAAGCTTGTTACTTCCATAGCTTTCCAGTCCAGTGCTTCCACCAAAGAGGGGGTAGATTCAGCCAAAATCCTCCCATGTTATAAGAAGACAGACTGGCCCAGCCCTCACCTCTTGAATGCCCTCTTGGTTATTCCCTTTAGGCTCTCTCCCAAGCCTGGAACCCAAATGAAGGAGAGAAATAGCTACCCATCCCCACCCCACTTCCCTTCTGCTGCCTTTCCAGAGGTCTTTTGAGTCACCAGTCCTACAGGGATCTGAGGCCAATTCAGGCAAGATGGGCCCCTCTCCCCGAGGATACATGAAAAGAGTCCAAATAGAAACATTTTAATTGGTTTATAAATTTGAAATTCATTCCACACATCTTCCTGGTGGCTCGCCTGATTTCACATATGCCCAGGTTACAAAGCACTCTTCTCATCCCCCAGTATAGTGCTGGGATCACCAAGAGCCCCCCTTGCCTGAGGGGTGTCAAGGGTTTAAAGAACAGACTGGGGGAATGGGCAGGAGCAGGGGCAGATTATCCAGTAAGCACAGTATGCACAGGTTTACAGTAAACAAGTTATGCACGGGCTTAACTATGTTTACTTACTAATTGTGTACCTTACTTGTTGGGTAATCCGTCCCTGGGCAGGAGAACTGGCTACCTTAGAGGCTCCGGGAGAGGTGGGCTCCAACCCCACCAATGGAAGGAAAAGTAAGGGGCAACCTGAAAGTGGTGGTCTGTATTTAGCCCCAAGTCTGTAGCAGCAAGGCTGGGTCTGCCCTGGCCCGGGTAACAGTGTTAGATTCTGCCCCACCCTTGGCAGTGCAAGGGTGCCTCTTCCCAGTCCCCATATGGCAGCAATGGTGGCGGAGGCCGAAGCAGACTTATTCCAAATGGCAGTACAGATACAGGGACACAATCATGGCAGCCAGCTGGTGGGTGAAGAACAGGGAGAGATGAGGGGACATGATCAGGTGGCTGAGTCCTGAAGCTTTAGTTGCCTGTTCCCCAGACACCCCTCCTACATGAAGCTCTGTTAGAAGTCTGTCTTCTCCAGAGAGGCCTCAGAGATGGGTCAAACCGCTTCTAGCCCTGGGCCCAGTGGGAGTATCCCAGCCCCAGTCTCCTCATCCCCTTACCTCCAGGCCCCCAATTCCAGCTGCCACACCACCCACGGTGCCTCCATTGGTTCTGATTTCATAAAGAAGCTGATCGAAGCAACCCTTGGGGGAGAGAATAGAGCATCTATAGTCAGCAGCTGCTCCCCGACCCCATTTGGCACTCCAAGGCCAGCAAAGAAGCCTCCCACCCCTTCTATGCCAGCTCCACACCTGCACAGCATCTTTCTCGGCCTCCTCCTTGGTGCAGGACCCACTCTCTGTGCTATTGTTGCAACAGTATGGGGGAAAGACACTCTTTTCCAGGTAGAAGGGAGAGCCCTCAAAATCTGTGTAGTTGTTGAAGCCACAGCACTTGAGCTGGAGACAAGAAGGGAAGGGAGTCAGTGGGGCCTTGCTTCCTTCTCCCTACCCCAAAAATCTCCCCCAGCCCACCTTACCCCTGTCATGGTGATGTTCCACAGTTCGGAGAAGTCCTTCTGTTTACCATAGTCTGTCTTGATGGCAGGCACTACTGCCAATGTCAGGAAGTTCTCAGCCTGGGTGGGGCAGGCCAGTGTTTAGGGGCTAATAGGGAAGGTGGCCATTCACAGGCCATGGCCACTTTCAGGGCTTTGCCTACTCTGTCTCCCTTGCCCCATCCCAGCTCCTCACCATTGTGGTGTACACCAAGGCGACCACAGCAGCTGCAACCTCAGCAATGAAGATGATGAGGAGGATGGAGAAGAACTGAGTGGGGAACAGGGGTCTGAGTTTTAGGGAGACAATCCCTTGTGCCCTCCTTGCCCTAGCCCACCCCCTGTTAAAATGACGCAGGGGCCCCTTTGGCTGCGGCTTCTGGAGTCTAGAGCAGGGTTTGGGGATCCCCAGGGCCTGGTGTCAAGGGTGAGGGAACCCTGGGCCTTGGTCATAGGTCTGTGGAGCCAGGTCTGACCCACCATTATGAGGGCACACTTGTTCTCGCTATGAGCACCGTAGCAGCCCAGGAAACCAAGAGCAAGGAGCACAGCACCAGCTGCGATGAGGAAGTAGCCCACGTTGACAAACTGCATGGCAGCGGACGACAGCGGCCCGAGGATCTTCAGGAAGGATGGCCCATCAACTGACACCCAGATGCCCACAGCAAGCAGGGCTGCACCACACAGCTGGGGACAGAGAGGTCAGGCAGGCCTTGAAACAACGTTGGCAAGCAGCTGCGTACCACACAGCTGAGACAGGGAGATGGGAACCTAGAAACTTCCCCCTTTATAGGCTAACGAGTCTAGAAACTCATCCTGCAGGGAGGGGAGCATCCTCTAGAGCCAGAAAGATGAGAGCTGGGACACCCATGGTCAGCACTAGGCTGCACACCCGGGCAGATATAAATGGGATCAGGGGTTCTAGAAATGTCCACAATGGTAAAGGGAGAGGCAAGGCTCTTTCTCACTACTGCCAGGTTCCTGCTACAGAGCTAGAAATGGAAACAGGCAGGTGAGGGCCCAGCCCATTTCCTTTTCGTGCTATGGGTGCCTGGAACACCTCTATCCTCTGATAGGCAGAAACGGGGATGGTAGCATCGAGCAGGCTCAACAGTCACCATAGCAACAAAGGCAGGGCTGAGGTTTACACCTGCTCCTAACCGTGGAGAGTGTGGTAGTTGAGAAAAAGAGACATCCATCCTGAGGCCCCATTTGGCTCCCTGCCAGAATCTGACTCCAGGTCTGTCCCTCATCCAGCCTAGTCTTCTCCTTGCCTCACAAGGAAAAACTGAGGACCAGATGGGGAGCGTAGCCAGAGCTTCTCTTAGAGGCTATCCTGCTAAATCCCAAACCTGAGGGAATCTGTGACCCAGACGGGGAGGTCACTGCCCAGCTCCCACTGCTCTGAGAGCAAAGCCTTGCTGACCCAGAGTTTCAGCAGATGAATCAGCCTCACCCTACCTGGGTGCCCAGACCACACCTTCCAGCTACAGAAACTGAGGCTGAAACCAAGAGTGAGGTGGCAGATTGTGCCTGGCTCCCAGGCATGTTTGCCTAAGAACAGAAAGCTGGGCTTCCAGCCCACGAGGTCTGGGGCCTGCCCTACCCTGCCCTGCCCAGCCTGTCAGGGCCTAGGCAATAGGGGCCAGAATCAAACTGGATTTGCCTTTAACACTCTCGTGCCAGAGCCCCTGCTCTCCAACTCCCCAAGATCCTGTTGCCTCCTCCAGATACATGGATAAAGGCTAGCTCCTTGAAGCCCAAGGCACAGACCACATCAGAGTCAGAGAGCCTACCTACCCTAGCCCAGTTTCTCCAAACTCATCTACACACCAGCACCTCCACTTCCTCATCATTTACTCTAACTTATTCTAATGTATCTCCGAGGTCTCTGCTGACAACCTGTGCTAAATCCAGCGGACACCTCAGGGCCTTATCCTCCTTGACCTCTTTGATATCTCACTCTCCTTGCTTTCCTCCCTCCTCTCCCACTGCTCCTTCCCCATCTCCTTCATGGTAACTATTCCTCTGCTCATTGCTTGTATGTTGGGGTTTCCCAGGGTTCACTCTCTAGGAGTACTCCTGCCCACACCCATGGTTTCAATGACCATCAATGTGCACATAACTTCCAAATATCCGTGTCCAGCTCAGACCTGAGCTGCAACCCTGCTGTTTATACAAGTACCTCTGGGACATCCCCCGGATGCTCATGCCGAAGAATCATCTCCAAGACCTCTGTCTCCCTTGCCCCTTCTTCCACTCCTCAGCCACCATCTGAGAACTCTGTCTTTTGTCCACTTTGTCCACTTCTCCCCATCTCCAAGGTTCACGCCTCATTGCTCAGCTTCCTCAAACATGTCCTATGCAATCTGTTCCGGGTTCTCTGAGCAATATCTGGTTTTATTACCTCTGGGCTTTTTTATGCATGTTTTATAGTCCCCCCACCCCCACCCACCGAGTACAAATTCCCAGCCTCAGCTATTTCTTCCAGGAAGCCTTCTCTGACCAGGCTGGGTTCAAGCCCCAATTGTGGGCTCCCATAGTTCCTGTGCTAAGCCCAGACATACTGTGTGCCCTGCTGGACCTGAGACACTCGAGAGCAGAGAAAAACCTTGCTCACCTGCGACCCCAGCACTCAGCACACAGTCTTAGGCAATAAATGTTTGTGGACTGAATAAGGGCTGCTTGAGATAGACCCTCTGCTCTGTTGCCGTGCTCTTTGACATTCCTGGGCCCTCTCCGCTTTCAGCTCCCCAGCAGAAAGAGGCCACTGAATTCCCTCCCACACTAAGTGACCTTAGGCAAACCCCTTCCCCTGTCTACCTGCATATTCCCCTCCCCAATACTTATAAAAACAGGCGAATCAGTCAGCCTGCTGTGTCCTACCCTGCCCTAATTCTGGGCTGAAGCTTCCTGGAATGGAGGGGACTCCCCTAAGTATCTCCACTCCTCCATATGCAGCAGCCTGGCTGCTACTGGGATTAGGACTCAGCATTTGGGGGACCTCTAGACCCTACTCATAAGGGGAAACTTTCAGGACAGAGTCTGTGCTTAGCAGTCTCCCATCCCCTAGCTTGGACTCTGCTCAGGTTGTGATCTGCTCTTGTACGGAGCCCCAAAGAGCCCACAAACCCCATACTTACGAAGATGAGTAAATTGAAGAGGAACATCATGGTCTTAAGGAAGCTGAAGCACTGCATGGTGGCTCCTAGGAGGCAGACATGAGTGAGCTGGGCCTCACCGCCCCCCACCCCCACCTTCCCACAGCCTGGCATCTAGAGCCTGATATGCCAGACCCCAGCATCCTATACCCATATCTTATCAAGCTTCCTGCACCTGGACTCTGACACCTCAAGACTTACTCCAACTCCCATCCTGACACCCATACCCCTCTATACTACCCAGGTCCTCTGCCAGCACCTGACACTCAGATCCTAACATCCCAGTTTCCTTCATAGGCACCCCAAGCCTGACCCCCCAGATTGCAAGTCCCTCTATGTCCCTCTCTGGCACCTGTATACCCAAGCCAACCCCAGACCCTTCTAGGACCTTCCCTGTGGCCCTTCCAGCTCCCCAAACCTATTTGCAGGTTGATTTCTCTTCATAAAATAATCCCTGTCCTAGGCAATCACCTGTTCAGGGATCTTGGCAGCTCGAGTTCTGGAAGCGAGATCAGCTGAGGCTCCAAAGGGAACAAACAGCTCCAGTGAGCCACCACTGAATGAGCAGGCACCTTTCACCTGCAGGCGGAGCAGGTGTTTTAAAGGCCTCCCTCTGCCCGCCTGCCTGCCCCACCCAAAGCCCGTCCCCCTCCTCTTGGCCCTGCTGCCCCCTGCTGCCTGGAGATCTGTCCCCATAGCCGCTGCAGCAGCTGGCCTCCACCTGACAACGCCAACCACGGGCAACACCCCTCCTGTGTCTTTGGAATGGAGGAAGTCTGGGTATGGGGCAAGTGACCCCCAGAGCTTCTGTGTGCCCTCCACCACAACAGAGCACCTATGCTGCTTACCCTACATCTGCTAATACATTTATACATATTCCATGGCTCATAGGCACACATCTGCCCAAGCCGCCTTCCATATATTCACATATCAAACACAAAGATATGTACTTAAACACCTGCTAATGCTCGTGAACCGACTTGATGGCACCTAACAACAACAACAGTGCTCGTGAGTGTACAACACACACACACACACACACACACACACACACACTGAACTCTTTGTGGACTGACTCCCAGCAACAAAGGAACAACAGAACAAGTTTCTCTCTCTCTCTCACACACACACACATACACATACATTCATTTTCAAGGAAAAATAAAGGTTTGGCAGCCTCTGCTCCCTCTTCTGAGTAACAAACACCCCTCAGACTAAGGTCCTCTAAAAAACCCCAAGTTCCTCATCTTTATCCTCCCTTCCTCTTTCCTCCTCTCTCATCTCCCTCCCCACCCTTCTCTCTTTTTCCTTCTCTCCAGTCTATTACCTCTATCTGTGTCCATATTCCAGGTGACTGTCCTGAATTTGAACCCGTCTGCCTCTGTGTGATTTCACCTCACAGCACCTCAGTTTCTTATATATAAAATAGGGGTAAGGATAGGCCCTCCTTGAAGGGTTGTTGTGAAATTAAATGTTGTAAAGTGTGTAGTACTGCCAGCAGGTGGAAACATGGCCCAACAAAGGAGTCATCTCCCAGTTCTAAGACTGTAATTCCCATCTTCATCCTTCCCTGCCTCCTGTCCCTCTTCCACTCCAACTTTCTTGATGTAGAGGTACTGGTGAAGTTCTGGCTTTAGAGGCATTCAGATCAAGTGCTCAAACTCTGGTTCTGTCATTTATTACCTATGTGACCCTTGAGACATTTCTTAGACTTGGTTTCAAGTCCATTTCTTGGTCTGTATAACAGAATAGTTATGGAGTTTTTAATGAGATTTCCTCCCCACTCTGGGACATTAATAAGGGAACGACCACAGACTGAGAGGGCCAGAGTGGAGAGAGTCACAGCCAGAGGAAGTCTGGGGTGGAAGAAGTGGGGTTTGGTTTTGTTTGGATAATGGGAGGAGGCAGCTGAAGAGACAGCAGAGAGAGGGGCTAATAACACCAAAATTTGTGTAGATTACATTTTAAGTGCATTACATATATTCAGTCCTTTTTTTTCCTTCACTACAATCCTATGACATAGATTCTCTTTTTATCCTCATTTCTAAATATGGCAAAAGGGAAACACATACAGAGTAAGTAACTTGCCATGATCACACAACTTGTGACAGTGCCAGGATTCAGCCAAGTCCAGCATCTTAACCACCAAGCTGACTGTCTACACTGATGGAGTCTCTAAGGAAGCAGGAGGGGCTAGCTTCCAGAAAGAGCTGGGGAGGAAGCCTTAGTTAGGGACCTAAGGAAGCAGAGGGACAGTGGCAGGTGAGCTTATAGGTATGGTGGCTAGAGTTGATGGGGACAAGGTCATTTTCTAATACTGAGGGTTGCAGGAGTAGAGGCTAGCGGGGGGGG